ATATCGGCCTGTGGTTAATTAACCGCGGAAGTTTAATCAGTGAGAGTGACCCTATAACTCTGGATACGAAATAAAAGATAGTATTATACGATCAATAGCGGGGTATAAATCTATTTCAAAGTTAGAGACAGGCGTGGGAAATGATGCTATTCTCAGCAAAATACTATTTTTTTATCCCTCGAAATAAAACTTGTCTCGCTTGTTCTTTGTAAAAATTAGATATAAAATATACACCCTGCAAAAAGATCTTTTAACTCTAAATTAATTAATTTACGATTAATTAATGAGAATCTATTATTGATAAAAATTATTTTAATCTTTTCATAAAAAAAAAAATATATTAAATTCGTAACTTTTTTCTGTATGAAAATTATATTTTGTATCGATTACCCAAAATTAATTATTACCAATGTGCATTTTTCTCGATATTAATTTTCTGTAGATTAATTTTCTACAGACGCAGAATTAATACACGGAACACAGTGAAAATAATTAGAAAATCATTCTATTAACGATTGCAAAAGAGAAATTTATCTTCTCGTAAATCCCATTGTTTATATGCAAAGCATAGATACGAAGATATTTCGTTTATTGTTTTGAGAGACAAAAAAACAATAAATGATGTTTCTCTGTACTTTGCATATAAACAATGATTTGCGAGAAGATAAATTTCTCTTTTGCAGTTGTAAATAGAATGATTTTCTAATTATCTCCACTGTGTTTTGTCTGCGAAAATTAATCATATCTGTAAAAGATTAATTATAATATAGAGAAAAAAATGAGCGTTTATAAAAATTAATTTTGTGGAACTGATACAAAATATAATTTTCATACATATGAGAGGTAAACTTTAATTTGCAAAGAGTAACTTTACGTGAAATTTGTTCCTTTGTTATCAATAACTACAACGCTCGAATACATGGATACACAGGCGCATAGTAGGCTCTGTGTAATAGCAGTACAAAATGCATTTTCGGAAACAAACGCAAAGACCAAGCGTCTTTTGTAAACCGGCGAATAGATGAAAGCACTGCATTCACACAATAGACGCCTTTATTCCGCATGAAAGGAGAAATCGCGATAGTCTCAGTCCAGAGGTGCAAGTCCGAAACAAAACATTGGCTGTGGGTTAATTAGACGCGAACAAGTTATAAGCCCCTTATAATGCGCGCACGCAAATCAAATAACGTGTGCATCTCTACTGTTATCTCGCATCGATGGATGAGAAAAAAATTGGTCAAATCGGAGGAATTTATATTAGAGACTCATGCGAAAAGAAATTGATGTCCTAAACACTTTGGGAAAAAATACAATTATCAAAACATTCTGCAAGTTAAAGAATTTCCATACACGTTATACAATAATTAGTAATTTATTAAAGTATTTTATTGGAATCTCATTGTTAATAATACAGATTCTCCGTAATTTGAAATGATTCTTTCTCGACGGAATATCCTTATTTATTGCAATTTTTTTAAGTATACATTTAAAAATCCAACATATGGATTAGAGTGTATTTTGCCAACTAAATCTTTTGCCTTAAATTAAAATTCTGGAACAGCTAGTTGGCTACTGAAGGCTGCTTGGATGTATGTCAACAAAAGTTTTATTCTAGCGTACTTTAAAACATGCCATGACATACTTTATATTGTGACTCTAACAATTAGTGTGTTTTACGTATTGCAACCTACTTTAACGTACTTTGACCTGCCGTCAGCAGTAATAAATAAAATATATACTTAGTTTGTTCTCGTTAGCATTGAAATTGGTTTATTAATATAATACATTTATTTTGAGAAATATTCATATTACATATTGTATATAAATATTTTTATATTTGTATCTATACATACATACACATACATATAATTTTTAAATAATGCGATAATAGAGAAAATCTATATATATATATATATAATATATATATATATTGTAATTGTATATGGGTATATATACTGAATCCATTCAACAATTCTCGTATTTCTCTATTATAATTATGTATACTAATTTCAATTCGCTTAGATAATAGTTTTTGATAAAATAAATATTTCCTCGTCGAGAGAGATTTGCGAGAAACAATGTAGATTAAATGCTAAATTACCTTCCCTCCAATTATCAACGAATTCTTATACTTTGAGAGTGTAAGAATTTCCTTATTCTTTTTCTCTATTCATTAAACGTTCTCCATTTCAGACTCTTATTTACTCGAAGGAAGAAAAAAAGATGCAAATGAATAAGAATAGATGGACATTTTAGTCGTGCCAATTTCTTTTAGCGGTCACCTAATTTAGGTCTGAAACAAACATTTGCTTAATGTAAATTTAATTGATCAATTATAACTCAATTATGTACAACGCTTTATCTGAAATTTCTACCATCTAAAGAATTTTTATCTTCGTTAAAGTCATTATTATGTTTACAAGTCACCGTACAAAAAGGTATTGAATCATAATACATACACATGTGTATAATAAACATATAATTTTCCTTTGCACAATTATCGTTACCATTATTAAATATCTCGATGAACAAACGATTCATTACATTACATACATTAAGACCGAGGTCGTGATATCGATTGAAAACAGTTTCCTCATATCGATACTAATTACGTACTTGTCACCCCTTGATTATCTCCAATCTCCGGAACAACGAATTAATATCGGCACACGCTATGACGCACGCGATATTGTATAACACAATTTATAATATACGGCATATATCTATTATCAACATTAATTATTCCGCGGGGTAGCTACGACGCACGGTGTGAGTAACTACGACAGTAATTAGCTCAGTAATCCACGGCGCATTCTGTGCAGTTCCACGGAACACAGCGCCGCACGACGCGATGCGTCGCGTCGGAGCGTTGGCAAGTAATTTTGTATGCAACGGGAGACGCGCCGGCCGAGTCCGTGGGAGCCCACAATTTCAATTGGAAATTATAATGGAAATCTACGCCCAGAATTTATTTCGGATCCTCCGCGAGTTGCTAATCCGAGTGAAAGAAATCCGCATTACGCAACGTCGGTCCACGACGCAAACGATGTTTACATCGTGCAAGGAAAAAAGGAGAGATCTCTACGAGACCGTTACAATCACTGCCGTTCGATATCAATACGAGTCGGGATTTGAAACGAATGGCAGAAGAAAATGACGTAATTTCTCCCCTTTGTTCTTCGATTCTTTGGTATGTTCGATCATAACGATCGGCGTAATCCGGTATTACAATATGGATACGTGGACTGACGTGTGCATAAAATGTAATCGTCTCTATACAGGAGAGATGTTTCTTAAATACTGTTCAATATTTTAGGAGTTGATTTTTTAGATTTTATGATATGAAGAAAAATGCATGTGAAAATATGATTTCAAAAGTCTTGTTTCAGAGATATAAATTTAAACATTTTATAAAATTATTACTTTTTTTTATAACTTCTAAACGAAAAAAGTTTTCTTCTTCAAAAATTTCTTTAGACCTAAAAAAGTAAAGATAATCGCAATAAATAGTATTATTAGCTTGACACTTTTGAAGGAATTGAATTTACAATTAACATAGAATGGTTAATTTAATTTAAAGCTATACCTATTTATACCAAATTCGATGTCAATACTTTGAAAAAATTAGATATAAAAAATTAATTTATTTTTAAACTGTTTTTTGTTTAAGAGTTTTTAAGGAAGCGATTAATTTTAATATCTTGTATTTCTGAAAATATGTATGTAAAAGAATCGAGATTATATATTCATATCAACTTTTTATCATAAAATGATCTCAAAAAACTTTCTAAAATATTAAACAGTACTTAAAAAAATATTCTGTATGATATATATCTTGTGAATATAAAAGCGGATCAAAACGTAAAGTCCTGAGCGCATTAATAAAAATTTACCTTTTTATTTATCATACAGATCTCTCAAAAGCTAAACTGATTCCACAAAATGTGAAGTAGACAAAATCGACGAAATTAAATGCTTTAGTTTAAAAATTTATAAAAAACGAAATCGATCGATTTGGTTTCTGAGAAATTACAATGCCCGACATAACGAAGGAGTAATCACTTGATATAATTGTGGGACAGAGTCCTCGAAATCATAATAAAATTCATATAAAATCTGTATGTATAAACCGATAATTACATATGCAATCACGAGAAATCATTGTATAATATTAAATAAAATTGTATATTTTACCAAATGACTTTATATGTAGTGAAAAAAATTATTTTTATAATCAGATAAAATCATATAAAATCATGTAATCTGTGGGACAATATTTCAGCTGGTAGTTACCTCCCTCGCGATATAATTTTTAGTTCGGCTTCTGTAGAGATAAAAATCCGTGTTAATCCGAACATTGGAACTCCAAATATTCGAGTAATAAGACGCATGTACCACGCTGCACTGTACGACTCCGCATTGATCCGTCTTGACTTTCGTTCGTCCGACATACACACACATAGCCATGGTACGTTCAATATGAATAATGGATTCAAATCAAACCAGCCGTTTAGCGTGAAAGCGTGTACCGCGGATTCGCGTCTGTTTGCATATGCGGATTTAATCTGCGTAATTTGTGTAAGTCACCTTCCGATCGGTCTCTCGTGCGAGCGGCTGAAAGCGCGCGCGTGACGGAAGACGCAATTATTAAATAACAGGCAAAATGGTAGCGGGAGGAAGAAAGAATAGCGGGAAACGAAAGAGAGCTAAAGAGAAAGATAAAGAGATGGAGAGTGCAATCGCTTTATCGCCGGTTGTACTCTCTCGGCTTTAACATGTTGCAGCGGCAACAAACGAACATGGTGCGCCACGGCGGAAATAACGCTCGACTTAACTTACAAGAGACACGCCACCGTTTCCAACGGGAACGTCCCGTCGTCGCGACCCCTCGTCGATGTGTACTCGATTACCTCGATAACGGGGGCACCTCGACGAATAACGTCGATCGATTTCGGCAACCGATTTACTAACGGATCCACCTGTCTCTCTTGCCGTTTCAGGTGACAAGATGGCAGCGATACAGCGTCGCAAAACGTCGGCAGCGAAGAGGAATCTGGCGGGCGTGCTGGTACCGGTGGTACTCGTCGTAGCTGGCGTCGTTTTAGCGCGATAAGCGTTTTACTTCGAAAATGTCCATAACTATTACGTCATTACTTCCGTTTGTGATAGATAGGATATTACCCTTCCTCCTCCCCTCCTCTCTCTCTTCCCCTCCGGGACTTTACGGTCCGCTCATCCTCCCCCTCCCTTCTTTTTCATCTTTTCCAGCAACCCCCCAGGCTCATACCCTCTCCTCATCCATTACTCGCGGGTCTCCTTTCCTCCTCAAACCACACTCCCGTCTTCCATTCCATCTTCCAACCTCCCTTCCCTCATCCTCACCCTCGTCCCTCTTATTCTTTATTTACTTTAGTCGAAGTTGCCGCCGGCTGGACTACTTAGATATGCGAGATTTTCGTGGAAGATTGCGCGATTGCCTGCTCCAAGTCATTACGCGCGACGCGCATGCGACTCGAATTATGTAAATACTGCCCGGGTCGAATACGCCACGACGAGGCGGATTACGTTAGGCAAGGCCTGTCCAACTTCCGGGGCACCGATTTGCTGATCGTCCGTTTTCGACAGACCAGATTTCAGGCCGGTCGGATGGAAAATTCACGCGGTCAGTGCAAACGAATCGATTGTGTCGCTAACAAGGTGAGACTACGTATTTCGGAAATCGAAATAATTGATTAGATGGGTTCCAAAAGCACAGACCCGTAGATGTGTGCATGTGTGATACAAATCTATGCGTCATATCTGTTACAAACACTGCCCTTCCTTTAAGAACACTTTTTACATTATTTACATTTACAAATAGGACAGTCGTCATCCTCACAATTTTAATTCTTGTACTTGCGTGTTGTGATTCCGAAATTATCGATTTAAACAAAAAATGACCAAGTAGCGTATATAAACCGAGATTTGATAGTTTTTGGGAATGTGTCGCTCAAGTGATTTTAAACAGAAATCACCATTTGATACAAATCCGAATTAGAACAGCTGCAATAATAAAATCTAGGTATTCGAAGATTATTTGATATCAAAAAAAACAAACGACTGGATTCTTCGTTTATTTCAAAGAAATAACATTCGGCTCAAGGATTGAGGCTCTCTTCGAATAAATTATACATATAATAACGACTTTATAAGATTCACGATTTTACAGTAATATAAACGACGCAATTTTAATTATAAGATAATGCAATAAGCATGAAATCGACTGGTTTGTACATTATTGTAAATTAAATAGGTAGACTGTAGAAGCTATATTCGATATATTTTACAATTTTACATCGTAAAAGCAATATATTTAATAATAGTAGCGATTAATGCGACAGCATTGCGACTAATTGACCGTTGTCACAAATTAGTCCGGAATCATAAATTAAAAATCAAATTAGTTTTGCATCAACTATTTACAGTGTGTCGAGTCGCAGTAGAAAAAGCATCTGCTCGCAAGATGTTTACTCATCTCATTAAGACCGTAATAACTTTGTAAGTATTTCAAATCAATCCGAATGTACTGCACAATACGACCTCTTTCCATTTAAATCCGCTTGAATAACACGTTCCCACGAAGTCTGGAAAATTTCTCTTGGGATACACAAACATGAAAAATAAAAAGGACGAATACATCTAGAAAATACCAGTCAAAACACGAAAATTCACGTTGAACGCGATTGCGAAGCGTGCGTTTCTGCTCACGCCACAATCTTACGTTTTTCGTTTCTATAAAAATTGTTATGAAAAACTGTTCCCTTTTACAAGCGAGAGCGCGCGTCTCGTAGAAGTCGCCCGCTCTTTGCGACGTCGCGTCGTAACGGCGTTGCGAGATGGAGATCGCACCGTCGCGTCGCACGAAAACGCGTTTATGGCACGACACGGTGTTGCAAGAGTTTATTGCACGCGGAACAAACGCGAACAAAGCACGGTACGTACAGCAATTTCGGAGCGTCGCTCTCACGTACCGTCATTAAAGACCATCATTAAGGCGTCTCGCGGCTGCGTTGTTACAAGTTATACTACTGGATGAGTCGTCGTTACATTCGAAGAAACGTTGGGAAAAAGATTGTGCTAAATGTTCATTCGCGTTGTAACTTTTTTTGCAGAATTTATATATTATTACTTTTCAATTAAAACCATAGCTTCACACGAATATTTTGACACAATTTAAATACCAATATCAACGTAAATAACTTTTTTGTTGTTATAATATAACGAATTCGTTTTATAATAATGATTAATAATGAAGATAGCTGCCCCTTCATTTTGTAATAAAATTGATAATGAAAATAATTGTCTTTGTTATATATAAATCATTGTTAGAAAATAATCTCGCCGTACAATGGAAAAGTTATTTACTTTTATTCACATTGGCATCGGAAGAGCGTCATCACGTCCATTGCCGAATGTTATTTTATTATATACGATGATAGGTGTATTGCATATTTTCTTAATATTATCGAATATATACGCGTAAATATTTGCACGTCCTATATAAGTTAAAGAACCATCGGCTGAATATTGAACAATCGACACTGTGACGTATGCTACAAGAGTCGAGTCACGATAGCTCTAATTTTAAAGTTGCAGGCGAGCGTTACGTCGTCCCTCTTGTCATTGAGCACAATTCCTCTCGGTGCTCGCCCTTACAGCTTTGTTCTTTGACTTATTCATTATTGAAGTTCTGATCTATTATTCATCTAGAGTTTTGCAAATAAATGGCACACTATTACGTACAAATACATCAGTATGATTAAAACTGTAAAAGACATCGTCATTGAATTCTTATGCATAATGAAACTCAATTATGAGTTATGAATAATGAAATCTACATGAACTGATCTATTATTCTAAACAATTTCTATTTTACGAAATTAACATTATCATTGTTCTCTACTAGAAATATCGTAGTTTTGTACGTACCCAAGATTTTCCGAGCGAACGAATTCACGAATTAATGTATGCATCATTGAGACGGGTTGTTACAATGCGGTATCGTCAATTAGGCATAAAAGCAGAACTCACCAGTTGGACAGGCCTAATACGTGGCCTCACTGAACGACGGCGGCGGAAACGTGTCATACTCGGCCTCGCCGGCGTTATTTTTGAGAGGCCCACGAAACCATCACGTAGCATCGTTTTCTCTCGCCCGAAACACTGTACACATCCGATACGCGTAGCGATTAAGACGATTCAACGGTTCTTTCTGTATATTATCTTAATTTAAGGTGAGACGTGCGCGTGTGTGGAGATACCAAAAGAAGAGGGGGAAAAAAAAAAAGAAAACGTAGGAAAACGTAGGATAAACGGTATTTTGTCGGGAATCGAATCCTTGCTCCATCTTCATTTGTATACTTATGCGTTATTCAGACGACACGTCTCGGGGAAATATTTCCTGAAAAACGTCTCGCTTCTTCCATGCGCGGAAGGCTGATACGTCAAGGAAAGCTCACAGGTGGGAATTCAGGAACATATATGCCCGACGTTTTAATCCTTGAGGGATACAGTATACGTGAGATTCACGCAGCCGCAATGAAATCTTGGCAGCGTGTCGGAAACTAAACGAATAAAAGGTACGTAGGATACGAGACATGACTAGGAGACGTGAAGAACGACGGGCCCGAAGCTCTCTTTGAGATTCTTCTTACAGACGCGAAATCACATCTAATGGAAATCTTACAAATTTGACACTTGAGAACCACTTTACCGTTGAAAATCACGTATATACGTCGCATCGTCGATATTATGTCTTCGAGAGCGCGGCCTATATGCGACGCAATCTGTATCGATATAGCGATTTATTGTAGTAAAATACACGATATGCGATAAAAAAAGAAAAAAAAAAAGAATCCTGCTGCTAGACTTCCATTCTTCGAAACGTGATGGCGAGATCTGCTGCTGCCAGCATCGACGAAAACGTTTATCGGATAAATCGCATGTGTACCACGTTTTCAATCGCAAATCTGTGTTACGTCTAAGATTTAATCGACGGCGGCACGATTATCTAACACTAGTTCGGAACGTGAAAGTTAGAAAGGATACTATCTCATTTATAGTATTTTAATATAGCTATCTTTGTTTATAGAAGATATTTGTAGAAGTATAAATTGTTGATTCGGGCGAAAGTTGCCCTGTAATGATCGTTATTCGTGGAACTACTAATCAGATTTTATTGCCGTTATTAAGTATACTTTGTTCAATAAACTCATTACTTTTCTTTGGTTCTGTCTAAATCTCTCACCTCGAAAGCGGTTAATAGTTTTACGAGGCAGTTGATCATACTCTAATGGCTGGTATAGTTCCCACGGTGGAAACAATAGCGTAATATTTCACGAGCTCACATTCAACAATTCGTTCTGAATTTATCTGCGTTTAATAATAATAAGCGCGCAAATAAATATAGCGCGCATACTGCGGTAATTTTAACGGGCCACGCTTTCTGGTACGTAAAACACATTACACAGAATTCGTATGCACGGAAAGTCCGTATGAACCATGTGTGTAGAATTCGTGGAATTCCTATCTACATCCTGCAAATCTAAAATTTTAATGAAGTTACCCAGGACATAAAAATGAAAAAAAATTCTTTTTCGAATAATGTCTTCGTATGAATGTCGTAAAACTCAAATCCTGCCCATATCACATTGCGTGCCAGCATTACTTTATTCGTTATTACATGAGCATGCATTGTCAAAGGATTTATCCTGATGCGCCACGAAGGCAGACGTTAAATGTTTGTTCTGCCTCGTGACAGAGAATCTCCTAGCGATATTTATAAAACTCTTATTCTGACGTCGAAATACAAATAGTTTTCTCTCTCTTTCCCTCTTTCTCTCTCCCTCTTTTCTGATCGGATCTATTATCCATTATTAATAGAAATATGCAGAACGCATGAGATGTCAATTCTATAGAATGAAATTCTACAAAACGCTGTTACTATGAATCTGTCACCATGTCAAACCGCTCGTTTCCTTCGGTTTTAACTTTTGATCGTCCATTCGTGATAAATTTACGGTTACAGCTTTATCACTCGCACTATTTGAAATTCAAGCAGTCTACACAAAGCGGTTACTGAAATTCAACAAATTTTACGATCCCTTTCCGACAGTTCTCTAATCGTCCCTCGCGATCACCTTGTTACTGTAAGTTAATAGCTCCTTTACGTGTGCTCGAATCGTCTTTCTAGACCCAAGTATCTATTTGCACGCGTTACAACATATATAAAGCACGTACACAAATGTATGTGTATTTATATTATTTATTTTGTTTATTATTTTTGTTTACTGTAACAATGTATAAAATTTTATTAACACTTCGACTGTCATGTGTATATGTACAATTGGATATACACCTATGTATGTACAGAGCATCGCCAATTTTAGTCAATGTTAATTTAATACAGTTTTTACTATCACCCTTATATGAATCAAAAATCAACTTTTTGCATTGATTTTATTTACAGAGAGTTTATTGAAATCTTGTAAAAAATTTCACTGGGAATTCCTGGATTTTTTCTAGGTATTTTTATTCAAAATTCCAGGTAAAATTAGAAAATTTTTTAATGCAATTTTGAAATAAATAGAAGTACAAGCAAATAAACTATTGGGAATTAGTAGAAAATAAGGAATTTCCACGAAACTATATTATTTTCTGCAATCTATAGAATAGGGAAGGCTCACTATATAAAATAATTATTAGCTTTACTCTATTCTGTTGAGTAAACTATTGTTTTCTGCTGTTCTCTTAATTTTTTTATAAAAACTGGCGAAATACAAGAATATATATGAATGTATGGCTGTATTTATACTGCTAACTGATTGTCAACATTTTATCAAGAAAAAATGATTATAAAGAAATAATGTTTACAGAATAAGAATTTAAGTTAAAAATAAAATTCTAAAAATTGCCCTGAGATCCAATAAAATTTCATGAAAATCCCTTATTTTCAAAAATAAAAAGAAATCTAAAAATTTCAGGTTTTCCGTGTAGTAAACATTCTGTATATAATATATTGTGAATTCTGGAGAGATTTTCAATTTTGCGAAGGACTTTTATATCAAAAAATATATTTTATTGAAAAACGTATTCTAAAGTGAAAATTTTACTTTAAAATTACATCATATAAAAAATAATAGTGTAGCATCAGGGAACCCATTACAAAAATCCCTGCGGCAGTCAAAGGAATAATAAAAAAATATATATAACCTTCATGATCCTCTCTTTAAAAATACGAA